GCCTAGGTCACCTTTAGGTTTATTGACTCTGAGCTAACTCTGGAGTCATCTATAAACCTTTATTTATCATCTTGGCATATAATCAAGAACATAAGGATATAGCTGTTTGAGGATTTGAATGATCATAGCCTGTAGGAAAAAAAGGAGGCAGTGTGGGAAATTCTAGAAGTTGGCAGATATCAATCAAGCCAGTTTAGTGACAAGACTAAATACTACTTCACTAAGATTTTAAGACTATTTCATGATGATTTTACCATTCATTGTTAATTTTCATGTCATGAATTTCAGTTCTTTGGATCCAAAATTATATACATGGCTTAATTTTATTTTTTCTATGTAATTCAGCATTGATATGGGTAAAGTAAAAGGCTGCAAGCTGGGGTAAAATAAATGAAATTAAATTTTTTAGATTTTTGACTTTATTCTTTTTTTAAAAAAAGAAAAACTATTTTCAGACATTTTTTGGTACCAGACAACTTGTAGAAGGTATTTTTCTTCCTTTAAAATGCTTTGTTAACTTCACAATATAATGAACAGCTTTGTATGTAAATAGTTAAAACTCCCCTGGTGAGGACTTTATAGATTGAGTAGAAAGAAAATCAGATTAAAAGATGGTAACTCAAGACTTACCTGATACGAAGTATTGTCAAAAGCTTAAAAGCAAAAGAATCAGCAAAGGTACATAGGAAAATGCAAAGGGGAAACAGTAGTAATCACAGCATTAATCTCAGAGAAGACCTCAGGACTCAAGGTTTAAGCAAAACTCATCTTTATTGACAAGATAGTGAGTTCTCAATCGGGATGAGCAGACAGTTCCCCAGCTGTAGTTCCCTAAATTTTCTCTTGATTGCTCTGCCTCCAGGAACATTTCCACATCATCTCCATCCCCTCCGGTCCCGTCATTCTAATTGAGTTACCTACTGGGTATGGCTCATGGAAAATTCAGGGCAAGTCATTGGTCTGTGCAGCCTGCTGGCCTTCCTCTCAACACCCTGCCCAAGGGCAGGCTTCTCTCTTTTCTTGTGTGCTCCCTTCCACCACCCCACCCTCCTACTTATTTCTCTTCAAACAGTTATTCCTGAACCTATCTTGGCAGTTTCCTTCTCCTCTTCTATCTAGTATAGAGGTATGTCTCTACACTGGCTGACAGACATTCATTCTCCTCTCTCAAGCCAGAAGCCTGCCTGACCTCTGCAGGGTGACTTCTGGGACTCAGACAGGGCAGTGACCAAGGGCTGTTTCTCTCTTCAAAAAGGCTTAATTTCAGACATCTTGTTCTCCTTGAGACCAACTATGAAGTATGTTCCAAACATTGCAAGTGAAGTTATATATTTACCTTCATGCAGTAGTCCCACCTTATCTAGGGTTTCACGTTCCTTGCTTTCACTTGCCAGCAGTACAGTATAATAAGGTATTTTGAGAGAGACAAGAGACCACACTCACATAATCTTTATTACAGTATATTCTTACAGTTATTCTATTACTTACTTAATGTTTTTAATCTCTTACTGGGCCTAATTTCTAAATTAAACTATGTCATAGCTATGTATGTATAGGACAAAACATAGTACATAGGGGGTTGAGTACTACTGGTGGCTTCACATATTTATGGGGGGTCTTGGAATGTGTCCTCCACAGATACCAGGGGACTACTGTATATGAATTCATGTTGTAATATGGCTATTTCTCTCTCTGTCTCTTTCACACACACACACCACCTTAAAATTTTTATATATCACTTCTCATAGTGTTTTGGTTAAACATAAAATTTTTTACATGGTTTCACATTATTTATCATCCAAACTGGGACACTGTGAGTTGAAGGGATTATGCCAAGTCAACAGGAGTAAGCCAAGATGAATAGTCTCCCTGCAAGGCTCTCCGTGGTCTGGCTGCTGAACTCATTAGCCTCACTTTGCGATGTGCTCTTCCTCACTCCGTGTGCCCCAGACTCACAGGCCCACTTGACTTACTGCTTACTCTTGCTGGAAAGTCTTTGACATCCTTTTTCCTCTACCTGGAGAGAGCCTCGCCTCTGCTCTCTTATTCACCTAATAAACTCCCCCTATTCATTTTTCAGATTTCTCTCCGTTTTAACTTCCTCAAGAATGCCTTCTAGGCTGGGTGTGGTGGCTCATGCCTGTAATCCCAGCCACTTGGGAGGCTGAGGCAGGAGGATCACTTGAGACTAGGAGTTCAAGGCTGCAGTGAGCTGTGACTGTACCAATGCACTCCAGTCTGGGTGACAGAATGAGACCCTGTTTCTTTTTTCTTTTTTCTTTTTTTTTTTTTTTTGAGACGGAGTTTCGCTCTTGTTACCCAGGCTGGAGTGCAATGGCGCGATCTCGGCTCACCGCAACCTCCACCTCCTGGGTTCGGGCAATTCTCCTGCCTCAGCCTCCTGAGTACCTGGGATTACAGGCACACACCACCATGCCCAGCTAATTTTTTGTATTTTTAGTAGAGACGGGGTTTCACCATGTTGACCAGGATGGTCTCGATCTCTTGACCTCGTGATCCACCCGCCTCAGACTCCCAAAGTGCTGGGATTACAGGCTTGAGCCACCGTGCCTGGCCAAGACCCTGTTTCTTAAAAAGAAAGCCTTCTAGGACTTTCCTAACTTGATCCATTCTCTCTCATTATTCATCAGAGTACCGTACTTTATCACATTTAGATAATTATTGGATTAATTTCTGTCCTCCATTAAAGTGAGGTTTAATGTGGGTAGAGACCATATCAGGGTTTTCTCATCATTTATTTTTTCATCACTCATTAGGCATGTAGTAAAAACTAAATAAATATTTGTTAGATTAATTAATTTTTTTTTGAGACAGGGTCTCGCTCTATTGCCCAGGCTGGAGTACAGTGGTCTGCTCTCAGCTCACTGCAACCTCCACCTTCTTGTCTCAAGCCATCTTCCCACCTCAGCCTCCCAAATGCTAGGACTACAGGTGAACACCACCATGCCTGCCTAATTTTTGTGTTTTTAGTAGAGACAGGGTTTCATCATGTTGCCCAGGCTGGTCTCAAACTCCTGGCCTCAAGCAATCCACCCACCTCCGTCTCCCAAAGTGCTGGGATTACAGGTGTGAGCCATCTCACCTGGCAGGTTAATCAATTTAAAAGAGGAAGATGAAGATCAAGGTTATTGCATATCCCAAATTATTTAAGTAGAATTAATTCTGATATGTCCCCTTTAATTTTTGCTTAAAATACATAGTACATTTTAAATTTATAACTGAAAATCTTCAAAATTTAAAATTTTTATTATACATGTTATACACAAATAGAAAATTTCTGCACTCATTAAATTTGTTGAAAAAAAATTTTTTTTGGTCAAGGCTGTTTTTTTCTTACATAGTGTACCAGTCTATTATTTAGGTTTAATACATGGAATCAGATGTGGTTTCAAAATCTCTGTTAGCACATTGTTCTTTATTCCTAAGGGAAATGTAAAATTAGGAGTAACTTACTGTTGCTTTAATTTTAGATTATGTACATTTTAAAGTCAGATATACAACTAAGTTATGAATAATATATGTGAGATATTTCAAAAAGTAAAATGCATTTTTAAAAAAAATTGTTAACTTCTGAGTAGCAGTTTAATCACAGATTAAATCAAGGCTCATACGCATGTATTGATTTAACCATTTAAATGTACTTGATTTGAAATCAGTCTGTCCTGATGGAAAGATTGGGAGGGGAGGATAGAAAGAACCGTGCATACTTTTCTTGGAGACATTGAAAGTTGCCTGGCATAAATTCAACACAGAGAGAAGGAAGATTATGCTGTTATTCCTGATTCCCTTGGACATTTGTCTTGGCAGGGAACAATTACTACATTCCAGTAACAAGTTTTCTGAGGCTTACTGATAGCTCCATGACACATTAAGTACTAATCTCATTTAATTATAATTTAAGTCAGATTAAATTATTCTATGTAGTTAAAGTAGAATCGAGCATCCTACAGATGCTGCACTAATTATAGTTATTGATGGCCTACTTTTTCTGACCTAAAAAGGTAAATGAGGGAGGGAATTGTCTTTGCCTTTGAGGGATTTTCCCTCTAAAAGAGATTAGTTGACTGTCATTGCTGTTTATTTTCACCTTACACTTTTCTAGAATCGTCATAAAACTGCACAGTACTGAACTAATCAATAGAAAAGGCAGATGAATATTCTCCCAAAGGAGAAAAGACTTGGCAGGTCAAATTAGTCATGTCAGATCTCTCTCCCCACTCCAATTAGAAACTGTGAAGTTTTATAAACAGGTGCTTTAAGCAAGAGATGGGATCTATGAATCAGGAATACATATATGAGACATTAATTTTAAAAGCTATTACAATTCTTAAAATAATTCTCTAAAAAGTTTCCTTTTAAGTGTTTTTAGAATCTGTTCTAGAAAAAAACTCAATAAATTATCCTTTGTTAATGTTTTATTTAGTGGTGTGGCTTTTTCCACAGATTAGATTGTTTACTTTTTAAGATAAATGTGTGTGTGTACGCATATGTGTGTTTTTCTTTTTTGTTGTTTGTTGCTGTTTATTAATGTTTGATTAACAGAGGCATAGCTTTGGTGCTTTCAGGCTGAGAACTAAAGGGATGATTTGTAGAAAACCAAAGTAGGTCAAAGAGTACCATGGTGTAGCAAAGGGGAAGTCCCTGAGTTTAGTTACATTGTCTTGCCTCTGGTGGAGTTCACTTTGATTGTTATAGTTGAGGCCTGTCTTCCTGTGAGTGGAAGAAATCATCAAATTGCAGAAGTCTCGGAAATATTATTATAAGTAACTTTAAAACAATATGTTACTGTAAGTTATAGTGGCGGGGAGGGGCGGTAGGGGCAGCAAAGAAAAAAAAAAGTAGAATTGAATTTATCACTGAATTTCACAAATCAAAAGCAAAAATATGCATGAATATGACAGCTTCCCTAAGTATGATGTAAGGAGTACTGTGTGGGTCCGTGTGGGATGGAAACTAGCATTTCAAATTTTGTCCACCTTGTGCTTGCTTCAGCAGCACATATGCCAAAATTGGAACAATACAGAGAAAATTAGCATGCCCCTGCACAAGAAGGACATGCAAATTTGTAAAGCATTGCATATTTTAAAAATAAAAATACAAACAAAACTTTGCCCTCCTATTCTGCTTTTTTATATATAGGCATTATGGAAGTGACCCTGTTTTGAAATCAAGGAGGTCTTCCAGGCTTTAAGGATCACGTCATGTTAGTTCTGAACATATGTAATTAAATAAATATTAAAAAGTAAACCTACTGATCATTGCAATAGCAGCTATCACACTTTTATGAAACACCATTTTGTGTCTGCTTTGCTGTGATTAAGCAGTACTATTAGAATCCAGAAATGTACTCTGGCTGGCTTCAAAGATCGTAGACTATTTTTTACTTCTCAAAGTTAAAATGAATTTTTCTTAAAATTAAATTTTAAGAAATAGCTTCCTCAGGTTGGTTAAATGCTAAGAAGTTATTATCTGTAAATTATATATCTATATATGTGTGTATATGTATATATATATGAAGTGATATATATGGAGTTACATAAATTTTGAAAGCTTCATATTAAATTTGATGTTTCCTAGTATACTTGATATTTTGGATTATGTTATCTCTTACAGCAGAAGATTTATTCTTTGACTAAATTTCCTTTCTTTAGGTACTCTCCTCATCCCTTTAAATGGGCAAGACTCCCTTGAGAATATTAAGCCTTTTAGCTCAGAGTTTTACTGAAGTTATTTTCTATTCTTATATTTGCCAAGAATTGCTGACAACTTAAAAAGCTATCATATGAGTGAACAACAGTTGCCTAGATTGTTTGATGATTTTGGTCAAGTGTGGATCAGGATTTCCTGTCATTTTTTTTCGTATTGCCTCTATCTCTGAGCAATTGTACACTTGGAAAGAACAAACAAAGCAAGGTCACTAGATCTAAATTACTTTTACTTCTGTTCCAAATGAAAGTTTTCTTCTGTTATGTGTTACAATGTTTGGCATCTTTTGGCATCCAGAGAGAGATATGCAGTTAGGAGGGGAATGTGGGATTGTATAGGAGAGATTTTTCTGAGCTTAACTCTTACTTTTTCTGTAGTCATGCATCGCCTAATGATGGGCATACATTCTGAGAAATGTTGTTGGGCAATTTTGTCATTGGGCAAACATCACACAGTGTACTTACACAAACCTAGATGGTATAGCCTACTGCACACCTAGGCTATATGGTATAGTCTAGTGTTCCTAGGCTACAAACCTGTATAGCATGTTACTGTACTGAATACACACTGGCAATTGTAACACAATGGTAAGTATTTGTATATCTAAATATATCTAAGTCTGGGCAACATGGTGACACCTCATCTCTACAAAAATACAAAAATTAGTCCCATGTGGTGGCATGTGCCTGTAGTTCTATCTACTGGGGAGGCTGAGGTGGGAGGATCACTTGGACTCAGGAGTTTGAGGCTACAGTGAGCTGTGATCATGCCACTGCTCTCCAACCTAGGCAACAGAGTGAAAGCCTGTCTCAAAAAAAAAAAAAATTAATTGATATATCTAAACATAAAAAAAGGTATAGTAAAAAAAATGGTGCTATACAGTATTAGGGGACCCTGTTATATATGAAGTACATCATTGACTGAAACATTATTATGTGGTACATGATTGAACCTCATCTAGAGACAGCTACTTCCTTCTCTTGGGCTGAAACATGTTCCTGGAATTGATGTGAAAAAGCAGATTATCATCAAGAGAAACATTTTCCTATGGATTATATGATCCAGCAGCTTGGAATACCTTTCTGAATTCTTTGTGTTTTGAGGTGTAGCTGAATAAAGTTTTTAGTATGTCAAAGGGAGACATGTTTTCAGAAGTAGGCATTTTACTAAAAAGTATTATAATTGCTTACTGAATGAAGGGGATAATCCTTGCCACTGCCTTTAAATACTAGGAGTTTTCCTGCAGGACAGCCTGAATATTTTTTCTGGATCAGGAAATAAACAACTGGGTTCCAGAAGATAAGAGTAGTATAAACTTCTGAGCAGAGGCAGATCCTTGAATAAAAGGAAGCTTTCTTTAGAAACAGTAATCAGGTGTTGGGAATTGTTGAGTATCTCAGTCTGGAATATGTTTGGCCGCAAATAACAAAAAACCTACTATGTAGTATAAACAGATAGGGGTCTGCCTCCACAGGAAGTCTTAATTAGGCAATCCAGAGCTGATGTGATGTTGAAGGATGTTAGTAAAAACCATCTGCCATCCTTAGAATGTGATTTTTATCAAGTCGTAAAAAGGCAGTTGTACCTTCAGGCATCACTATATTTCTGGCATCTATTGCTGTGTTACAAAATTACCCTAAAACGTATCAGATTAAAATAATAAATATTAATTATCTCACATAGTGTCTGAGGTTTGAGAATTCAGGAGTGGCTTAGCTGGGAGGTTCTGGCTCAGGGTCCCTCCTGAGGTTGCAGTCAAGATACCAGCTGGGGCTGCAGTCCTCTAAAGGCTTGGTTGAGCTGGAGATCTGCTTTCTAAACTAACTCACATGGACTATCAGCAGGATTCAGTTCCTCACCACAGGGATTTCTCTTCAAGACATGACAGTGGGCTTCTCTCAGAACAAATGATCTGAGAGAGTGGAGAGGCTCTAGAGTGTGTGTGTCAGGAGGGAGAAGACAGATGGAGACAAGAACAAGACGGACATTGCAATGTTTATAACCTAATCTTCGAAGTGCCATATTCTTTCATTACAGAACCTGATACAGTATGGGAAGGGACTACACTAGGATGTAGTCCCTTCAAGAGGCAAGCATCATTGGGAGCCATCCTGGAAGCTGCCTCCTACACACCACAAATATGTACTAAGCAATAAGAAGGACAGTAAAGAGGCAGTGCTAGCAGACTTCTGTTTGTATCTCATTGGTCAGAACTGTGTAACATAGCTTTTCAAGGGAGGCCGGGGAGTCAAATGTTTAATTTTCACAGTCTCTGTAGCACAGACAGACAGAAGGAAGTTGGAAATGGAACTTGGTCAGCCTACTGTTCATTGTCAGCCACTACCAGGGATTTGATGACAGTGACTACTTTTAATTTGACTGTATTGCCTGTTCTTAAAGTTAACGATGCATCTTCTAGGAGATTAAAAGTAGCCCAGAAAATTTGTTGTTTTTTCTGAGGCAAAGCCTTGCTCTGTCACCCAGACTGGAGTGCAGTGGTACAATCATGGCTCATGGCAGCCTCAACCTCCTGGGCACAGGTTATTCTTCTGTCTCAACCTCCCAAGTTACTGGGACCATACACAGATGCACACTACCATGCCTGGCTAATTTTTAAATTATTTGTAAAGATGAGGTCTCCTTATATCGCTCAGGCTGGTCTTAAACTCCTGGGCTCCAGCAGTCTTCCTGCTTTGGCCTCCCAAAGTGTTGGGATTACAGGCATGAGCCACTGTACCCAGTGACTTTTTAAAGTGTGGTGGTTACTCTAGTTGTTATAGAAATATAGTTCTTCTGCCACCTAGCTAACGGAAATAGCTAAAGGTTACTAAATTGTGAATCATAAGTAGTTGTGAGGAAATTTTAGGTTACTTTCTTCTTTGTATTCTTTTACATTTGTTTGCATAAAATATTTTGGTAGTAAGAATTCTGAAATCTAAAACAATACCCAATGCCTATGTTTTCAGATCTAAAAAGATAAATTCTTCCCAACAACAAACATTGAGTACCTACCATATATCATAGACAATTAGTATAGAGCTTACAAAATTTTTAGAAATTTAAAAATAATATGTTAGGCACTATTTTACTTGGCGATAATTTTATTTGTAGTGGTTACTAGATTTTTGAAAACTATATTGTTGATTGAAATAACCATTCTGTTTTTTTATGTATTCTTTCATTAGTTAGTACCAAATTACATTTCTGAAAAATACCACACAACTTGGAAACATGAAAGTAGAATCTGAAAAGGTAGGGACCCAAGAAGGATTGAAGAGGAAAGTGAAGGGAGTTAGATGCATAAAATAAACTGAAGGGAGATGAGGACCAGGATTATCCTATCCTCCCTTTCCTCTCTTCATGCAGGGGCCAGGTAGAAAGAGGACTCTCTCTTCAGGAAGGGGAAGCACATAGCAATTAGCAGGTAGAGGTGAGGATTAGAAGCTTGTATGAGCAGATGTCATGCCTTGAAAACATATCCATAAGTTTCAGACAAAGCTGGTTTGATAAATATACTGGAACAGCTGTTCACATTTGTTAGTGTGAGGTAACACAACTCTTAGTGTGTGTTACCTCACACTAACAAATATAACTGCTATTTAATTTGACCTTAAGTTAGGGAAGGTCTTTTAAAGCATAAAAACAAGAAAAGAAAGCTTTAATAGAAAAGATAGTATTGACTGCATAAAAATTAAGTACATCAAAAAGTACCTTAAATTTATTTTTTTTTCCTTATTTTTTTTTTATTGCATTTTAGGTTTTGGGGTACATGTGATGAACATGCAAGATTGTTGCATAGGTACACACATGGCAGTGTGGTTTGCTGCCTTCCATCCCCTCACTTAAATTTAAAATATAAAACCACAAGTTGGAAAAATGAGTTTTATCACATACGAAAGAGCTAATATTCTTAATATGTAAAGAAGTGCTTAAAGTCAATCAGAAAAAGACAAAAATAGATAAATGGATGTTATAAATAAAAATTTTGAACAAGTGTGCAAAAAAGTTCAACTTCATAATAACAGCAGATGTTTTTTAAGAGACTGTTTTTTGTGTGCCTACTATCTTAGTAGATTGTCTTTCAGGAGATAATCCTCGTGTAGGTCAGGATGTTATGAAATGGACTTTCTTATACACTGCTTGTAGACATGTAAATTGGTGTTACATAATTTTATCTTTTTATCAATAATTCCACTTAGGGCAAAAATAATATTTCTTCACAATAGAGCTCTAAAGGAATTATTTACTGTATTTTTAAGGATTATAAAAAATAAGTTATAAAAATATCTTTTGAAACTGTATAGTTCACTTTTAGACTGTATCACTCTTCTGTTAAACTGAGAAAATTAATGAACTTGTTTTTTCCTTCCTCTCATCTA